CCCCCTTCCTGATTTCTTATTTTTTTGCATGTTTGTCACACTTTAATGTTTCAGATCATCAAACTAATTTAAATATTAGTCAAAGATAACACAAGTAAACACAACATGCAGTTTTTAAATGAAGGTTTTTATTATTAAAGGAAAACAAAATCCAAAACTACATGACCCTGTGTGAAGAAGTGTTTGCCCCCCTGTTAAAACTGGTTTATCACACCTGAGTTCAATTACTCTAGCCTCACCCAGGCCTGATTACTGCCACACCTGGTCGCAATCAAGAAATCTCTTAAATAGGAACTGCCTGACAAAGTGAAGTAGACGACGAGGGCGCTTGGTGACACTAGGGTGTGACTGGAGCAGAGATGGAAGGAAGTGACGTAGGATCAGGAAGTGAGCTGGACATAGAGGATGAATGTAGTGGCGCTGAAACATTAAAGTGTGACAAACATGCAAAAAAATAAGAAATCAGGAAGGGGGCCAAAATTTTTTCACACCACTGTATGCATTTTGAATGGAAGCGTAGCAGGCAAATGGGCCAGAGGGTTTGAAAACAGAAATGTGACGCTGGAATTTTCTGAAAAGCATAATTTTCCCAAACATAAAAATTGAGACTGAGTTACTGTCACTGATGTTGTTCTAAACACTGTGATTTTCTTTCTTCTGTAGACCAGAAAAGCAGATGTTCACGTTGCTCTTTTCAATAATGTGAAAGTGAATATGGATTGTCTAGCTCCAAAAAGGACCATATTGTACAATAGTTCTGTGTGAGGAAAATATCCTAATTTAAGTATTCAGTGAAAATCGTACCCTCTGCCACTCTCAAATTAGTGTGATTGGAACATTTGCATATTCAAAATCATTATATGACACATGATAACCTTTCATTGACGTCAAAGCTCATGCAAGACGTCTTGATGCACCATAGTTGACTACATGAATGTAAATGAGATTTCAAGTGTTATTTTAGAATTATTTTTACATTGTTAATATTTTGAATTAGCTTTTATTTTTTAGTTTTAGTTTTAATAATTTTGTGCTTTTATTTTTTAATTTTTAATTTTTATTTCTGAAAAGCAACATCTCTATTTTTTATTTTATTTTATTTTATTTATAAAATGAAATGAAGACTATTTTTAATGGTTTTAGTTAATGATAATAACACTGGATTTGCTGCAATTAACAAATACAATGTTTATATATTCCACACACACAAAACTATGAATTCAGAAGACATACACATTTATGATGCTTGTCATTTTTTGAGCTTGACAGCCACTGGTCACCATTCACTTTCACTATATGGACTCTGCTAAACATCTACGTTTATCTTGCACAGTTTTTTTTTTTTTTTTGCATTTATGTAATGACACGAGGGTGATTAAATGATGACCCAAAGATACATGTTTGTATATATACTCTGAGAATTAAAATTGTTGTCTATGTAATTGACAGGTTATAAATATCCCACAATATTCCATTAACAGACAAAATTTGAATATTCATGATTATTTGCAATCTGTCATGAAAATATATCTAACATGCATGCTACACAAATACATTAAATATGCCCCCCCCCCCCCACACACACACACAGACACACACTCTCACTGTCTGTAATTCTCATAAACACACTCACACACAAATGTGCTTCCACAATAATAGCCGTGGGATAACGCCCACACATAACACACATGTCTGACTGACTTGCGCTTTATCACCATCATTAGTGCGACAAGGGGCATCCTAGAGCCCCTTTACATAAACACATGCGTGGGAGATGCACACTCTCTCTCACAATCACACTCACACTCACACACAACCTCCTGGACTTCATTTGTTTGTTGTTTTGTTCACTAAATCGCTCTTCTGGCCTTTACACTTCATTCTTTTTATCAGTTCTTCTCTCTTGAATCTTTGTGACATGCAGCAACTCCTGTCTTTACTCAAGTTTGTATTCTTATCCTTGAGAAATACACACACTGAGGTGAATAACATACGCATAGTGATTAAGAACAAATGACTGCAATGTTTCTTCATGACTTCTGCCCTTCGTTTCTTTCTGTTCCTGTTATATGGGACTTGGAGAATGGTGTTCCTCTGCCACTCCGTCCTCCATTTCTCCTCATCCCCCCATCACTGCTGATCATTGTCTCAATTACTCATCCTGTCCTTCCTTTATTCTTTCTCTCTCCCTCTCTATTCCTTGTGTTTCCACCAGTCTCTCATCCCATTTTTACTTCTTTATCTCTCTTTTCCTCTTTGTTTGTCTCTCTGCCTCCCATTTATCTTTAAAGGAGAGCCGCAGCTACAGCTTTGCTACTTACAATAAACTGTATTGTTCTTGCTTGTCTTTTGTTTCTCCCCTTTTCTTTTTTTTCTGCCCCAAGACCTTTCAGTACTTCGGCTTATAGGGAAGAGCCACATTCATACTTGTCATCAGACTCCCTCCCTCTCTCTCTTTCCACTCTTCCTTACACTTTTTTTTCTGTCGTCTGCTCACACATTAGGCCTTTCCATCACCTCCTATCGTCTCTCTTCTCAATCACATCAGCTACAGCTTGTCAGAGACCATCAGTGTCTCCCTCTCTCCCTGTCTCTCTCTCTTTTCTTTCCATCTCACAAAGTGTCTCAGAATATCTCAGTTTTAGGGTTACAGCTAACCTTGACCTTCCTGCTCTTCCCTGTATCCTTCTCTATCTATCTATCTATCTATCTATCTACCTATCTATCATTCTATCTATCGTTCCATTTGTCTATCTATCTATCTATCTATCTATCTATCTATCGTTCCATTTGTCTATCTATCTATCTATCTATCTGTCTATCTGTCTATCTGTCTGTCTGTCATTCTATCTATGCCTGTCTGTCGTTCTATCTATCTATCTATCTATCTATCTGTCTGTCTGTCTGTCATTCTATCTATCTGTCTATCTATATGTCTGTCTGTCTGTCTGTCGTTCCATCTATCTATCTATCTATCTATTATTCTACTGTTCTATCCATCCATCCGTCCGTCCATCCGTCTGTCTGTATTTTTTATGCCCCTGTCCGGACACAGTGTGCAGTCCTTCAGTGAGGCTGAGAGCGTGAGTGAGGGAGAGATAAAGGTGTGAAGGTCTCTTTTTTTCAAACCCTCCATGGGTCATTGGTGGGAAATTCTATCTATCTGTCTATCTATATGTCTGTCTGTCTGTCTGTCTGTCGTTCCATCTATCTATCTATCTATTATTCTACTGTTCTATCCATCCATCCGTCCGTCCGTCCATCCGTCTGTCTGTATTTTTTATGCCCCTGTCCGGACACAGTGTGCAGTCCTTCAGTGAGGCTGAGAGCGTGAGTGAGGGAGAGATAAAGGTGTGAAGGTCTCTTTTTTTCAAACCCTCCATGGGTCATTGGTGGGAATGTTATTCTGCAGCCCAGGGGTATTTTTTTCTGAAATGGACAAAAACGTTTAAAAGGTCCATGTGAGACTGGCAGAGAGTGATAGATTTAAACTAAATGAAGGAATCAGAATCTAGAGGCTTTGAAAGACTGGATAACATATTACACAAGTGAGGGACAGAGGTTTGTCTGTCCTCCGTTTCAATTCTTTCTCTCTCTCTCACTCCACCCTCAGTAAATAAGATCTGGCACTCTCACTTACATCAAATCATTATTTCTCTCTCTTTCTTTCTGTCTCTCTCTCTCTCATTTAAGACGGCCAGACCTTATTACCAAGGACAAGCTGTCCTGTCCTGTCTTTGGCCCGTGCGTCTGGCCCACATGTAACCAGCCGTCGGCCTCAACCCACATGCATCCCACATGATGTCCACCTGTTGCCCACTTCATATCAGGAGCGGCCATCGCTGGCCCACTTAGGTCCATGAAGCTCCCCAATATCATTATCAATATCATTGTTTTGGAGGAGTCCTGGATTAAGCAAGTTTGTGTGTGTGTGTGAGTGATGGATGCAGTTTGAAGCGTTTTAGGATGCTAAATGACCTCCTCTGGGACCGGAAATTAGGCCTCATTAGAGCTGCACCATGATGCAGAGTGACATTTGTGTGTGTTAATCTACATTAGATCAAGTATATGTGCAGAATGACTGTGTGTCAGTAGGAACTATTATTGCTACGGTATCAGATCTGTCTGTGAGTCTATTTGTGACACCATATTACACTTTTTTTGTAGCTTGCAGTATGTATGCTGTTCACATTGAGTACATTTTCTGTGTGCATAAAAAACCCAGATGACAATTTGCAAAAATGTGCATTATAAAACCAAAGTACATGTGAGATACTGTATCCCACAATGCAATGCTCTTAACTTGACCTTTTATGTTGATAGTGACAAATCACTGTTATTAACATCTGTCTTGACTCATTATTTGATAAGGCTGCCAAAAGTATAGACATTTTTACACAAACTTGGATTAAGAATAAAAGTAAAGACATAACCCATTAATTTCCAAAGTATCAGCAGGATGACACTTGCTAAATTAAGCTTTTGAATTTTTCAGTATAAAACATTGAATGCATTGAAGATATTGAATACCGTACTTCATATTGTTTCACATACTTTTTTTCAATAGTAAGCAGTATTCATCTTTATCAGTATTCTTCTGTTTAAGTATGCTAAGTATGATTGTCTTGAAATGAGAAAAAATGTACTTGAGAAGCAACACTGCATAAGATATTAAGACTTGTGTTCAGAGAATGTTTAAAACAAGATTTTTTCATGTAAAAAAAAAAACAAGTGAAAAAAATCTGCCAGTGCAGTAAGACAAAATGACACTTGTAAAAATACCAAAATACACTCAAAATATAATAGGCCTATATGAAAACATGGGTTAATGTGTCATGCAGTGTTGCTTTTCAAGTATATTCATCTTTTTTATACTGGAAAACAAGTCATAAAACAGTAATTAAACCAATTAAGAATTAAGAATTTTTTGCATTGCTGTTGATTATTTGCTGTGTGTATGATATAATAATAAGTAGTAAATCTCTTCTTTTCTCTCACAGCTACATCAGATGGGACGCGTCAGGGACTGGAGAGCATGAGAGGAGGAGTTTGTGCTATACAGGGCATGAAGGTGGTGCTGAAAGTGGGACAGAGTGAGTAACACACATGCACACACACTCTTGGGAGCATATCGGCAGACAAAGCCAGAGGGTTGGTCACCTGAAACAGTTACGGATGCTGGATTAGCAGAAACTTAGGCTCAGTAAAGCGTTTCTCTGAGTGGCACACATGACCACGCTCTTGACCAATAGCTTTTGTTTACACGCAAACACAAACTCTGTCGGCCCCTTGTTAGTTTTCATTATTAAACTCAGGAAAACAGCGGTAAGTGAATCCCAACAGACTGTGGACACAAGTCCCTGAGCCGTAACAGTACACCACAAACACTCGTGACTGTTGTGTGTTTGGAGTTATTTATCAGTCATGCCTATCACACTACACTGTTGAATAAGAGAGGATTAACACCGCAAAAAAGACTATGAAACATTTTGTTTTTATTTACCTGTTTTTTTTTTCAGCCTCCATCTTTGGCTATGAATTAGATTTTTTTCACAACATTTATTGACTTTTCTTAAAAATCTCTTTCGGTCTCTCTCACTGTAGTTGTTATCTGCTTAGTGGCTGAAAGGTCACGTCTGTTTTGTTTGTCATCTAAATAAAAGCCGTTTCGGTTGGAGATATCTGATATGTGCCTACACGCACACACAGACTGTCATGGCATTTTGACAAGTGTGACAGCTCGCCATAAGCTCAGAGATGACTGTGTGTGTGTATGAAATGTCTATCTGCTGTCTAAAGTGTTTGTAACCTCAGCAGTAGCCCCTCAAAAACAACATTATGGTGTGAAACATCTTAAAGGAACCATATTCTACACTTTTTTGCTTTATTCTGTTCCTTAAAGTTGCAGTTGATATTTACAGGACCTTTTGCACCCGCTGTCTGACCTTTAAAATTAAACAGGCTGTTTTTGCAACTGTGCCTTTAAGACCTATGCAGTGTTTCTTGATGATTGGTAAACATATCTGCATATTAATTAGTATCAACTTGCTTATTGAGTTGATATATCCACTACTGGTCAAAAGTTTGGAATAATTAAGATTTTTTAAATGTTTTTAAAGTAAGTCTTGTATGCATTTATTTGATCAAAAATGTAGCAAAAACAGTAATATTGTGAAATATTTGTAAAATTTAAAATAACTATTTAATGTTTTGATATATTTTAAAATGTAATTTATTCCTGTGATGGCAAAGTTGCATTTAAATCACAGTTCATCACTTACACGGTTGTGATACAGTAGCATATTTGTTTTTGTTATGCTGTGTGCACATTGACTGAACCATTAAAATTACTAAACGGTTTCTCAATTATGTGTCCGAAGGTCCATATGGTCTGCCAGCCAAATCTCCCAAACCTGACCCTGCGGACCGTATCAACAACCCAAATCCAGGTAAACACAGCTGCCTTTGGTATCATGAGGACATGGCTCATCCTAAACAGACACAACATTAATAAAAGAAAAGAACTAACTAAAGGAACAAGGGAAGGAAGCGACAGATGGATGGAGAGAAACAGTCGTCTTGGCACTCAAGTTCTTTTTGATATATTCCACCCTTTTGTTTGTTCTCTCCTCCTCACATTCCCTCATTTTTCCCCTCTTTTCCTCCGTTCAGCGTCTTCTACGGAGGCCCTAGAGCCGCGAACTGGAAGCAGAATGCGGTGGGAGTAATGGTTGCATGGGGAAAGATAAAGGATGAGAGGAGGAGAGAGCCGTCGTTTTGGAGACTTATTAATGCCATTAGTTTAGCGGCTTGGGTTTAGTTGGTCCTGAAAGGAAGAAAGTCACAGAAAATGAGAGGGAGAGGGGGATGATTAGTGTGGGATGATAGAATGAGAAAATTACTCAAACTCTTTGTTTGCACGGGTTTGACATTTGGGAGTGTGAGACTGGTGCCGTGTGTCCTATTCTGTTTTTTTCTTTGACATAAAGACAAAAGACTATCTATCTATCTGTCTGTCTGTCTGTCTGTCTGTCTGTCTGTCTATCTAATTCAATTCAAGTTTATTTGTATAGGGCTTTTCACGATACAAATCATTGCAAAGCAGCTGTACAGTATATGTTTTTACAATATATTTAGTAGTAGCTTATCAGTGGTGACTGTCAGTCAATGTATGTATGGCAGAAATGTACGGAAAAATCAGAGACTTATTAATGCCATTAGTTTAGCGGCTTGGGTTTAGTTGGTCCTGAAAGGAAGAAAGTCACAGAAAATGAGAGGGAGAGGGGGATGATTAGTGTGGGATGATAGAATGAGAAAATTACTCAAACTCTTTGTTTGCACGGGTTTGACATTTGGGAGTGCGAGACTGGTGCCGTGTGTCCTATTCTGTTTTTTTCTTTGACATAAAGACAAAAGACTATCTATCTATCTATCTATCTATCTATCTATCTATCTATCTATCTGTCTGTCTGTCTGTCTGTCTGTCTGTCTATCTAATTCAGAGGCGTATTTTCTTGACCTGGTAAGGACTCTAGCTGCTGCATTTTGGACTACCTGTAGCTTTTTTATTGAGGATGCAGGACAACCATCTAGCAGTGCATTACAATAGTCGAGTCTAGAGGTCATGAATGCATGAAGTAGCTTTTCTGCATCAGAAACAGGTAACATGTTTCGTAGCTTGGCAATGTTTCTAAGATGGAAGAATGCTGTTTTTGTAACATGGGAAATATGATTTTCAAAAGAAAAGTTGCTCTAATATAACACCCAGATTTTTGACTGTAGAGGAAGTAACAGTACATCCGTCTAGTTGCAAATTGTAATCCAAGAGATTATGTAGTTTTTTGGTCCAATAAGTAATATCTCTGTCTTATCCGAATTTAATAGGAGAAAATTATTGGTCTCTGTAATGAGTAGTCCACTGAAGGCGAGTTGAAGATGAACCCAAGTGCAGTTTATTTACAAAGTGATCCAAACATCCAAACAAAGACTTGACTTGACTTGAACAGACTTGACTTGAACAGACTTGACTCGAACAGACTTGACTCGAACAGACTTGACGTAGCATGAACAGACTAGACTCACCGACAGCATGTACATACATTTATACACGACAAAGAACAGTGGGAACATGAGGGCTATTTGTAGCAAACACTATGGGTCACATCACAAGAATCAACCAATGAGCAAACAGAACTGAGAACCACATGACAGGACAATAACCAATG